AATATTATATTAGGTAAACAAGGAACAGGAAAAACAACATTTATAATGAAAGAATTAATAAAAATGAATAAAATAGAACATTTATATGGAGCAGTTATTTATGTATCACAAAGTGCAGGAGAAGATGAAACATTTAAAGAATTAAAAGATTTAATTAAAACACCAATTTATGGAATGAATTATGAAAAATTTATACCAGCATTAATACAATATTATAAACAACCACAAGAAAAACATTTATTAATTATATTAGAAGATGCATCATTTTCACTAATGAAAGAAGATAAAACATGGGGAGAAATTATTACAAGATTAAGACATTTAAAAACAACTATTATTGTAAATATGCATATTTGGAAAAGTTTAAATCCCTCATTTAAAACACAAGTAGCAACAATTATTATATTTAAAGGATATTCTAAAGAAAATTTTAATTATATATTTAGACAAACAGCAGCAAATACAAGTGGAACTGTTGGATATTATTTATATTTAGGAATGAATAAAGAACAAATATTAAAAATAGATAATTTAACAGGAGATATAAGTATTATTAAAAAATAAATGAATTAAATATTAATTATTAAATATTTTGTTATATCATCTTTTAAAGGATCTGGATGATATTTTCCACCAGTCCATGTAATATTTTGTTTTCCAATATTAAATTTACCAGATCTTCCTTTCTCTTCTGGCCAATCTCTAACATATACCCAAATATTTCCAATACAATTAGGAATAACTTTTGCATTAATCATATGAGCAATTGCTACAGCATTATTTTTACCTTCAAAGAATCTATAATTTTTTAAATCATTTAATGATATATTTAATAAAATAAATGAATGAAGATTGAATGCATTTGGTGATTTAACTATTGATGAATTAGTTTTTTTATCTCTTCTTGTCTTTCCAAGTGCACTAAAATCATCAATTGAATCTTTTAATCCAACTGTATATGTTTTTTGAACTTTTTTTCCTGGATTACCATAAAATTTATCAACATCAAATGCAGCTGATTTACCTTCTCTAATAATAATTCTTTTTTGAAGTGTAATAATAATGTTTGACACCATAATAATATTAGTATTAAGCTCTTCATTCGAATCAGCTAAATAAAATAATCCATCTCCATCAAATGATTTTTTGATGAAATCATATAATGAATTTTTAATTGAATTATATATATTAATAATATTTGATCCAATTGCAGATTTAAATAGTTTATATTTTTCAAGAACTTTCATTAAATCATTTAGTTTTTTATCACCGTTATCATTGCCATCAGTC